TCCTCTGTAAAGCTGGGGGGGGCATGGACTCACAAATATGTTTCTGCATTCTCCACTGAGGACAATGACTTCATTTCCTCTTTGACTGATTGTGTACGAAGCCCAGAGGGTTTAGTGTACTCTAATGACAAATTGTATGTGCCTGTTTCCCTCCGCAGAGAAGTCATGGAGTCAGCGCATGGTTATAAACTTGCGGGCCATTGGAGCTTTGTAAAATCCCTTCAACTGCTCCGCAGGCAATTTTGGTGGCCTCATATGCGCAAGGACTTGTTGGACTTTGTGAGAACCTGCCACACTTGCGCATTAACTAAGCCACGGGGGGGTAAGCCTCCTGGTCTCTTACAACCCCTCCCCACTCCTTCTCGACCTTGGGAGGTAGTTTCTATGGATTTTATCACGGATTTGCCTGTTAGCAAGGGGAAGACAGTAATTTGGGTTGTTGTTGATCTGTTTTCTAAACAAGCCCACTTGCTTTTAAAACGTGGATTTATTCTCGATGCTTGGGATCCCAACATGCAGTTGCCTGAACCCCTAATTTTTACTCAAATGGATGGGTCCACGATGAAGGAACCTTGCGAGTTTGAGATGGTGCCATTACGGTTGGGGGCGGGAGATCACTGGGAAAAACGCTCGTTCATGATCACCCCCACTGCCAGGTTCCCGCTAGTATTAGGAAGCCCCTGGCTGCATGGACACGATCCCTACATTCTATGGGACAAGGGGAAGATGCAATTCATCTCCCCACGATGCAAGTCACATTTATGGAACCCGCAGTGGGGTTCCCAGTCAGCAGCCGAAGCCCCCAGTGTTTGCCTAGCCCAGGAGGAGTTGGGTTCGATTCCTCCCGAATATAGGGACTTGGCCAGGGTATTTGAAGAGGAAGAAGCGGATAAGCTTCCACCCCATAGGCATTCAGATTGTAGTAATGAATTACTGCCGGGTCATAAATTGCCTAAGGGATGCATTTATGTGATGGGACCAGCCGAAAAAGATGAACTGCATAAGTTTATAGATAAGAACCTGGCCTGGGGTTTCATCAGGCTGGCTTCCTCACCATTTACAGCTCCCGTGCTGTTCCGGAAGAAAGATGGGGGGTTGAGGCTATGTACTGACTATAGGGGCTTGAATGCTATTTCGTCTAACAATGTCTACCCCATGCCGCTCATCAAAGACTTGTTGGCCGAGGTGTCTAAAGGGAAAACCTTCTCCAAATTGGATCTCCAGGATGCGTACTTCAGAGTTCGCATAAGGGAGGGAGATGAACACAAGACTGCCTTTAATACACCCCTTGGCCAGTTTGAATACCACATGATGCCATTTGGTGTCCAGGGGGCTCCAGGAGTATTCATGAACTTGATTAACGAGGTGTTGCACAAGCATTTATTCAAGGGGGCTCTTGTTTACTTGAATGATAACTTGCTGTACTCCTCTGACCTCCTCTCACATGTGAAATTGGTGAGGGAAATGCTACAGACGTTGCACAAGCACAAACTCTTTGCTAAACTCTCCAAATGTGAGTTTCATACATCGGTCATTGACTTTTTGGGGTATAGGATCTCAAACAAGAGATTGAAAATGGACCCAGGGAAGGTCCGGGATGTACTTGGGTGGGAGGCCCCCCGCACACGCCACCAGCTACAGTCATTCCTCGGATTCTCGGATTTCTATCGAAATTTTCTCCCCAACTTTGCCAAGATCAGCTTACCCCTCACTGACTTATTAAAAACAAAAAGGAAAGGTCCAGAAGCGACCAAACCGAGTGCTAAGCTTCAGTGGATGGAGGAATGCCAGGAGGCATTTGACCGTTTTAAGGCACTATTCACGTCAGAACCAGTGCTTGCCCACCGGGATGAAAATAAAAAGCTCATCGTCCAAGTTGACGCATCAGACGTGGCGATGGGGGGGGCGATCCTGCAGGAGGGGGGCGATGGGTTGTTACACCCCTTGGCATATGTCTCTTATACTTATAACGGTCTCTTAAACTTATAACGAGACCGAACACAATTGGTCAGTTTGGGACAAGGAGGCAGGAGTGATCCAATTGGCGCTCTCGACATGGAGACATTGGTTGGAAGCCTGGGTGCCGTTTGAGGTCTGGACAGATCATAAGAACCTGGAAATGCTCAAAACCCCCTTTAATCTTAATGCCAAGCAGCTATGGTGGGCCAACTTCTTTTCCAAATTTCAATTCATGTTGCACCATTTCCTGGGCTCTGCGGATTCACTGGTGGATGCACTATCCTGCCTCCCACAACATGACAGCCAACAGGAGGTGGTACTAGACTCTATGTTCACACCCTCGCATCTTGGGGGGGGTGATGACTCGCAGCTGCACAGCCTCCTCCTCTCCAGACCAGATCTCCGGACATGACTCCACCCCTCCTGTGCCTCCGGGCGGGGCAGCCTGGAACGTCAGGTTTGCCTCTGCCTTTTCAGATGCCGACAAAGATGAGGTGGAAAATGTCGGGGTGGTGGTGGAAAGGAAAGCGGATGGCTGCTGGTACCGTGGCACAAAACTGTTTGTACCCAAATCATTCCGAGGGGAAGTGCTTGCAGCGGTTCACGGCTCCAAACTTGCAGGGAACTCTGGATTCGTAAAATCCCTGCACCTGCTGCAAAGACAGTTTTGGTGGCCACTTGTGCGGAAGGATTTATCTTCGTTTGTTCAGTCTTGCCAAACTTGTGTCATGTGTAAACTCTGGGGTTGTTGAAACCTCTCCCAACCCCAAGTCACCCCTGGGAGGTGATCTCTATGGATTTTATTACGGCTCTACCCCCGAGTAAAATGACCTCCGGAGGCATCTGGATTGAGGCGATGTGACGGCACTGTTGTTAGATCTGTCGGCCGCGTTTGATATGGTCGACCATCAGTTGCTGACCCACCGCCTCGCCGATGTGGGGATACAGGGGCTTGCTCTTCAATGGCTTGCCTCGTTTCTCCAAGGTCGGGGACAGAGGGTGGCAATAGGGGAACAGCAGTCCCGGAGGCACCCACTAGAGTGTGGTGTGCCTCAGGGGGCGGTGCTTTCCCCGATGTTGTTTAACATCTACATGCGCCCCCTCGCCCAGATTGCCAGGAGGTATGGGCTGGGTTGTCATCAATATGCAGATGACACCCAGCTCTATCCCAACAGGATGATTGGGTGGACTTGCTTCCCCTGGCTGAATTTTGCTATAATAACACATGTCACTCCTCTACGGGAATGTCCCCATTCAAAGCGCTCTATGGCTATGACAACCCCCCATTGCCCTTTCTCAAGGGAGTTACCTTGGGCCCGGGGGATGCTGCGCAATGATGTTAACAACTTCAAGACTCTTGGCCTTTATTGTTTAAAACTTTGGAGATGGCCAAAGAGGCTTACAAGGCTCAGGCTGACAAGAGAAGGGTGGAGGGATGGGCTCTGCAGCCTGGAGACTCAGTGTATGTATCGACAAAAAACATTTAGGTGTTGAGACCCAGCCGCAAACTGGGTTGAAAATTCATTGGCCCGTTTAAAGTCAATGAGGTGGTCGGGGAGCTTGACCTTCCTAAGAACATGCGCAATATCCATTCTGTGTTTCATTTCAGCCTCCTGAAATGGGACCCAGGCCCAAGCCCCTGGTGGCCAACAAAACCAGCACCCCCTCCTATCATGGTGGAGGGCGAAGAACATTTTGAGATCTCAAAGATCCTGGACTCTAAAGTTAAACGTGGCAAACTGTTTTATTTAGTGGAATGGTTGGACTTTGGACCCTAGCATCGTGAATGGGTGAAAGTAGGGGATATTCGGGCCCCTGGGCTCTTGCAAGAATTTCACCGGGAGTTCCCAGGGAAACCGGGAGATATCCTGGGCTAACCGGGAGGTCTTCCGGGCAGGCCGGGAGATTGTTTTTTTGGGTGGGCAGAATGTCAGCTATGCTGCCATATGGTTTATGGGCCCGGGTTCGCTTTCATGACCTGTGTGCCAGTTGCTGCCGCATTCCTTTCTTTTCGCTTCTCCCCCTCGTTATCACTGACCTTGTAGCCAGCCTGTGTAGTGTCTTCCCATCAATTAACCATGAGACTAGTTTCGTTTCCCAGCCTCAGGCTAACAGCCACTGGCCAAGAGCCCTTTAGCTCAGTAGTCATTTGAAGTTTTCACTATTTTCTGCCAGTAATTTGGTGTCATCTGCATATCTCAAATTGTTAATGTTCCTTCCACCTTCCTCTAAATCTAATCAACTTTCCTTATGACATACATTGGAGAGATAGGGAGATAAAATACATTCTTGTCTGACACCTTTGCCAGTTGCAATAAACAAACTGAGATAATGGCAAATAACAGTATAACAGGTCCATTGTATTCTAAACTTGTTCAGAGAGTCCTCCTTAAATTAATCAACTCACTGTGGGGTGTGTTTGTGTGTTGATCTTCAAGCTTTCAAAGCATCAGCAAAACCAAATCTATGGATGTTTGATAGCATCTGTTTCGAGTCACCTCTTTTTCAAGAGCTGATAAGTGTTTCCTTCGAGTGGTCCTACATAAAATATGTAAATTATCTACTGTGTTGGCACTCCACAAATCTCATAAGTTAGGAGGTAAATGCATTCCATTATGAATGTGTCCTATATTTAGGGAGACTGTGAGTATATCTTTTTGTGGATTTTTAGGGGGGGGGGACACAGCAGCAGGGCCAGGAGCCATGAAATGCAGGAAGCATAGTGTAAAATATCATTATCTGAAATTCAAATCAAGAAGAGTACAGAGACCATCCACTAGTTACGCTAACTAACTCCTGTGGTGGTGGTGGGGAGTCCCAACTAAGGTAGCTAACATGTTAATGATTGAGGAATCCCAAGTCCTTGTTCAAAAACTACAGGGGGGAAGTAATATGTTTCTTTTTCATACCGCTACATGTAATGATTGCATAATAAAGATCCATTCATAGAACATGTACCCAAAGAACATGAAAAACAATTACCTAAGGTAACACTATATATAATTAGCTTTTATTTTCCAGAGGAAATAATATAATTTTTCAAAGAAATTAGAAATAGTACAGAAACTAAAATAACTTAAACTTTAGGATCCTTGTTCTTTTCACAGTAAGTACAAAAGGACACAAAGGTACCTAATTACAGGGCACACAGAGTTTTGCAGAAATGTTTGTGGCCATGAATTCTCTATTTTGCATCCTGTTTTTGCCCTTGTAGGAGGCCATTCAAAACAAAAAAGAATGTCTGAAATACAAGATGATGGCGGAACAAGAGGTCCTCCTATTTCGTCAACAATTGAAGGCAGCCAGGAAAGCTCTGGCACAATCTCAGGCAGAGAATAAAAGGTTGAAGCAACAACTTGACAAGCAGGTTTGCTACTGAGCTCTGCCACAACCCTTTTCACATAGAAAAATTGAATTCTTTTATTTTCTTGGTACTATTGATGTGAGTGCAGTTCTTTCCACTGAAATAATTTTTGTTTCCTTTTAAGGTGTGACTGAACATATTTTGCACTGTAATTTTTAATCTAACCCACATTCATGACAGTAAGACTTTGCAGAGTTTACTAACAAGTTAGTCTAACCATGAAGTATCCTCTGGGGAGAAATTAAAGTCGGCACACAGACCACCCTTTGTTAAAAGTTTGCAAATCCTGATTGAAGGTCTGGGGAAAGATAGAAGGCTCTGTTGTGTTTCTTAAAATAAAGGCAGGCATCCCAGCCCTTGTGTTCCATGTGGGCATAGGGGCCCCAGTGATTTGGAGTTCTCAGAACACCTTGGGGTTCTCAGCCCCTCACACTTTCTCAAGGGTGATTTGATTCCCGTGTGAAGAGCTTTAAGAGGACCTCCACAAACTGGATACGTGGGAGACAATGTGGCAAATGAAGTTCAGTGCTGGTAAGTGTCAGGTGATACACAAAAATTCCAACTTCAACTATAGGCTAATGGGGTCTGAACTTGCTGAGACTGAAGGGGAAAAGATCTTGTGGTTGTAGTTGATAGCTCAATGGTTGTAGTTGATAGCTCAATGAAAGTGTCAACCCAGTGTAGTACAGAGGTGGAAAAGGCAAGGGGTTATTAGGAAAGGGATTGAATATAAAACAACTGATATTATAATGCCCCTGTATAGATCTATGGTGTGGCCTCATTTGGAATAATGTGTACAGTTCTGGTCACTGTATCTCAAAAAGGACATTGCAGAGCTGGGAAAAGTACAGAGGAGGGCAACCAGGATGATTAGGGGGTTGGAGCACCTTCCCGATGAGCAAAGGCTGAAGAGTCTGGGACTTGTCAGTTTAGAAGAGACAACTAAGAGGGAACATGATAGAAGTTTGTAAAATTATGCATGGGGTGGAGAGAGTTGGCAAAGAATTTTTTTTCTCCCTCTCCCAAAATACTAGAACTTGAGGGCATCTCTGACGGACTGCAAAAAAATGTAGGCTTTTTAAAAAGTTGCTTGTGTCAGAAAGTCAGGGAGTTCAAGAGTTCATCTTCCCTGGAGAAAAGAGCTTATGTGATTGGCTGTTCTACTTGCACTCTGATTGGCCAGCATCAGCTTAGAGAGGAAATTAAACAGCTGATCTGGAGGGAAAAGATATGTTTGCCTTTTTGTCTTTGTTTGAAATCTAATGTCTGGATCAGTAGCCAGAAGGTTTGGCTTCTGAGGGAAGAGACTTTGGGAGTCAGTGATCTCTGTCAGGGAACTGTTAGAAAACAGAGGATGTATGCATTGCAGAGGATGTATGAGATTTTAGAGCTGAGATGCATACACTCACAGCATATTTGAGGATTTCAGTGATAGTTACATCCCAGAAGTTAAAGTTCTACCGGGGGGGGGGGGAGATTGTATTGGTATCAGTGTTGGTTGGTTGTTGTTGTCTTCACTCTGATTTAACTACTTACAATCAAGGAACAGTACAAGCAGTGGTTGAAGAGGATTTACATAGTACCTGTACCTCTTTATGGAAGTGCAAATCCATCTTGCCCCTTTAGAACACTTACCCAACTGTGTGTGTATTTGGTTCTTTCTTCAACCTTCATTGTAACCAGTGAAATCACAGAGAAGAGCTACAGGCTGGCATTAATTAAACAAAACTGATCAAGAATATAATTCACTTTTTCTTAAAATACAAGGCTCTGTGAAATGCAGAGAAAAGTATCACAGTGCAGCTCCCAATCAATGGAAGTTTTAAAGTAATTAAGATCAGTCTCTGCCTATGACTTGCAAAGCAAATACATAATGCTTACAGTGGAAGGGTGCCAACAACTACACAAACACAATTTCCTTTTTACACTCTCAGTAGCAAATTTCTCAGTGATGGTTACAACATATGAAATAATAAAATCATAATCTTGTAAAATGCACAATGTTTTATGATTTTTAAACACTGATACTGTCACCCAAACAATATTAAAACCTGGAATTTGCTGCAGTAAAACAACTCAGCCAGTAAATGCTCTCCACAATTAAAAAAAAACAAAAAAGTCTTCACCTCCCTTCTAAATGCCAAGAAAGGCACACAAACCTTGGGCAGAGACTACCATTATTGGATGCTACCTCCAAGAAGTCAAAACCGGCTATACCTCTGCTATGGTGATCCTAGAGCTTAATCAGAGATGTTTTTTACCAACCATTTAACCTTGTCCCTAAGGCAGTTTCCATGAAACATGCATTTTAAGAAAGCTACTCCACTACCCTTTTAGTTTTACTAGGTAGTTCAGGATGTCTTGTCTGGCCTTGAGAAACCCTCAACATATGAGTATCCATAGCATAGGAGGCTCCCATACTCCTATAATATTGTAGATTTACAAAACAAATGTTTAGGATGACATTGTTATGAAGGGATTAGAACTGTACTAGAACAGAACAGTCCAGGTGGGCACCTTTAGAATGGAATAGGATTGTAGTCTATCACAACGATTATTTCAGGCTTTATTCTGCTTTTACTGTACTGTCTCCTACCTTTGTAATTTCATTGTTATTATTTCATCGTCTATAGTATACATTGCCTTAGGTAGTTTGTATTAACTTTTAATTTTGTACTGTTGCAGTGATCATTGGCTGTCTTTGCAGTATGAGCATTGTATTTTTCCCCCTGTAACCCATTTTGAGTCTCAGCAAGAAAGGTGGGCTATAAATAAACAAAAATAAGCAAATTAAGAAATTTAATCTATGGGGACTAAGGGTTCAAATGCACAGGATTTGTAGCAGTTAAAAGGTCTCTTTCAGGTTTAAGCAATTACCCGAGCAGTCAAAAAAAATTATTTGGGAGTGGCCAAATGTCCTTGGGATTTAAACCAATAATTGTCCTAGCCTGGACTAGTTTTCCCCATGAATTGATGTGTAAGTTATGAATAGCATGGGGTGATAGTGGCACAGGGGATTTATCCTCTGGTTAAACATCTGAGCTGAACAGGACTGCTGTCAGTTCGAGCCCTGCACTGGTGTGAGCTACCAGCCAGCTCGCCGTCCACCCAGCGATTCGAAAGCTTCGGTGAGTAAATAAAATGTGTACCACTCCTTAGAGGGTGCACCCTTCCCCCCCCCCCCCCGTGGGAAAGTGTTAGCTGACAAATGGAAGGTCCGCGCGTAAGCTCAAAAGCGGAGAGAGATCTACACAGCTTCAAAGAAAAGCCTGCAATGGGCCATTCTGGCCAGACGGTGGCAGTGGTGCGCTGCGACCAAGAAAATGCTGACGACATCAAGCGACGCTGACTAAAGAATGCTGCTGGGACACGTCTGATTCTTACAGCTGACCAAACTCCCTGTCGACTGCGAAGTGTGTGTGATTAAAAATGATATATGTTGTCCTCCCTTACCGCCATCATTGTTAGTTCCGTGTCTACACATGAGTAACTGTAAATCGCTCAGAGCCGGCAGCTCTGCAAGGATTGCGCGATCAATAAATTGAAAGATTATTATTATTATTATAGCAAGAGATAACAGTAGCTCAGCAAAAATATTAATAGTTCAAAAGTTTGTAGGACATTTTGGCTTCTGGCCTCCTATGGCAAAGGATAGTAGCAACAGTACAGAAAACACTTCCTGGCAAGAACTGGACAGAGAAACAGGGATGTTAGAATAAAATAAAGGAGAGGAAAATTTCAAAATTGTGTCTGTATTTAACTACATACCTCTTTCCCCTCTCCTGCCCTGAGGATTTCAGGAAATCTCACTTGCAGTTCTGACCAGCTTCTCCAGCCTTAGCAGGATGACATGAAGTAGCCAACATTTTTTTGAAAAATTGGATTTAATATTGAGCTCATTGTGCAAAATAGAGGAAAATGAGCAAATTCATTAAAGTATTATGCTTCTGTTTCTTTGCATACTTTACCAATTTAGTTATGTGACAACAATAGTTAGGTTATGGTGATACCGGAAAAGATGTGACATTAAAATATAGAAGTACAAGGGGAGACCCACAAGAAACTTGCGAGGAGGGGGCATTTTCCCCACCTTTGCTTCCCTCTCCCCCCTTCTCTGTCAAAGTTCTCTCCTGTCTTATCTATACATTTCCCTCACCTCCCCCTTCTCCTCTCACTCCTTCTATGTTACTTTTCCTCCCCACCCCCTTTTCTAGGAATCCTTTCTTACCCCCTTTCTTCTCTCTCCCCTTCTATGTCTCACCCCTCTTCCCCCACCTGTTGTCAGTCTGCCCCTCTCTCCTCCCTTTCCCCCCCCCGACAATCTCCCCCCTCTTCTGCCTCCCTTTCTACAGCTTCTTCGTTTTTTCTGGCCGTGGGGAGGTTGCTCGCTTGGGAGAGATCTGGCAGCGGTGGCGGCCACTGCTCCACGGCCAACTTGCTGACTGCGGGGAGGCCGCTCACTTGGGAGAGGCCTGGTGGCGGCGGCATCCCCTGCCCCACGGCTCCAGGGATGACTGGCTAGCTGCAGGGAGGCTGCTTGCTTGGGAGAGACACAGCGGCGGCAGCATCCCCTGCCCCATGGTTCGAAGGATGACTGGCTGGCTATGGGGAGGCTGGCTCGCGGGGGGGGGAGTATTCCCCATGGCTCCCAAGCCAAGACTTCTCCCCGCCACCGCTGCCATGGCCCACAACACCAACACTGGCAAGTCCTGCGCAGCTCCAAGCAGCCAGGCTCTTCGCCACCGCCGCCCACAACAGCAACACCGGTGAGCCCTGCACGCTCTGAGCTGCCCGCTGCCAATGGGTGTGTTTCCTGCACTCTTTTACTTTTGGGGGGATTTAAGTATCCCCCTATAGTTTTTAGATTTTTCTGCACATCTGGGGATTGCCCCAAACATGCAGGAAAATCCCCCTGCCCCCCAGGTGCCCCCGATGTGCAGATTTAGATATCTGCATGGGGGGGGGCGCCTTGGCTATTAGATATACAGATATATACCACTTTTCTCCTTGTATTACCTTTGCCATTTTCAAAGTGGGGAGGTAGTCATTTTTTTAATTTTTCTGTTGTCATTGTATATATTCTGAATTTTAGATTAACCCCTGGTATTTCTAAACAATGATGCTAATCTCTGATATGCTTACTTTAGGATATGAATTGCCTTGTAATCACATTAGAGAAAAGATGTGATATAAATTTTGGAAATAAATTAATACCAATAAACACATCTTCTCTGACATTACAGTTGACCTTTACATAATTTGTTGCCTGACCTGCATAGGACCACTTGCTACAAGAGGCAGAGCACAGGATGAATCAAGAAGTCCACAGAAGGCAGAAACTCAATCAGATTAAGACAGACAACTTGGATAGGATGCTGGAGGATCTTGGAAAGAGAGAACTGAGACTGCAGTGCCAGTCAGCAGAAGCTGAGAAATCCTCAAAGATAAGACAGCTTCAAGAAAAAAAAGTGAAAAAAGCATTTCACCAAGTAAGGCCATAAATAACACATTTTCAGTGTCTAATAATAGAAGAAACAATGTTCAACAAAATATGTACCAGCATTAATTTACCATTAAAAAAAAAATCCTCCTGGCTGCTCTAATAAAGAGCGTTATAAAAAAAGCCTCCAAAATAACTGAAACTTTCATGTGCAAGGTTAACAGTTTCCTGTTCCTACGCTATGCATGTCATTCATAATTAGACGAAATGGTTTTATTTGCATTAAAATGTATCTTTCTTAGGTAAGAACCCGACTGACCCAGGAGCACAGTTTAAAACTGGACGCCTTCCAGAGGCTAGATGAGCTTCAGTATCAGCTTTATGACATGGAAGCTGCAGCATCCCAGAGAAATTTATCTGCAGGTATGAATGTAGTTCATATGATATCAGCCTGGACTACACTTGACAAGCAATTGCAGAGATATCTGTCAAAGTTATGTTTTGAATCAATAGTGGCTGTGGGAGGCTGCAGTCTTGTCCACATGATGGGTGGCAGCACTGAGAACAGCTACTGTCTTTCTGTTTCAGCCATTTTTTCTATCCTGCCCCTACTTTCAATAAGATTGTGCATTTTAATTGCTAGGCATGTTATGTGCACAAGAAAAATGCTCACTTAAAATTTACTAACCCCCAAGTTTGTCATGTTCTGTATACACTTTTTCTCACAGATTATCTAACACCATGGTATTACTTTCACAGGTCTAAAAAGGAGGTCTCTTAATCTTTCACATAGTGCCAACAGCATAAAGCTTTCTTTTCCAGGTAACAACATACTAAATTTCCTGTATCAGCTCCAATTCTTTAGCATAAGCATGTGCTCTTCAAAATCCCAGGCTCCAAGCTGAAAGTTGTTATTTTTTTAAAAATGGAAATGTAAAAGTAACTGACTTATACCATTAAACTTCCTTTATTCATTATTCCTTTATTAGGAAAGCTTTCATACCAACTTGTTTGTCAAGGAGCCCATTTTTACAAAGTAATGTGGTGATGGGTATTATCAAGGTGTACTCAGTTCACCTGTAGTACTGAACTGAAGTTGCACCCTAACCATACTCCTAACATTTCCTCCGATAAGTAGTGAGAGGCAACCTGCTTCTCAAGGAAGCCTGTTCCTCATTACTGATCATCTTGAGGGCCCCCTGTTCGAAAACGTTTAAGCAAATCAAGTAATCATATAAACTGTGTTTATACAACCAGATTTTGGTTGGTTCCGTTTTCATTCAGATCCCAACCACTTGGATTGTCTGGGTATCATGGGAAAAGGTGACAGTTAAGTTCTTAGGGGGAATTAGTATTCTTCTATGCAAAAGAGTCATATCAGAATACAATTATTCTGTAAATAGTTACCATGATTCTTTTAGCAATTCCAGAGATGTTTCCTGGAAGACGGATGGAGAAAAAAGCAGGCAGGATTTGAGTAATAGCTTAGTAAGACAAAGCATTGTGAATCTTTTTCCTTCCCATAGTCTTAGGCGCTCTCACTTGCAGATGGGAACACAGTAGCATACCAAGCTCCTTAGCATTCCCATCTTGTTTACATTGATACTTATCTTTGTTACATATCTTTGTTACATGACAAAATATTCTTCAGAAAGGTTTATAGGTGAAACACATTTTGAGTTCTCTTCCGTGAATTATTTTGCTCCAAAACTTCTGATAGGAATCCATACAACTGTTGTTGTTGTTCAGTCGCACAGTCGAGTCCGACTCTTCACGACCCCATGGACCAGCTCCCGCCAGGCCCTCCTGTCTTCCGCTGTCCTCTGAAGTTGGCTCAATTTCATGTTCATTGCATCGATGACACTGTCCAACCATCTCATCCTTTGCCGTCCCCGTCTTCTTCGACCTTCAATCTTTCCCAGCATCAGGGTCTTCTCCAGTGAGTGCTCCCTTCTCATTTGGTGGCCAAAGTATTTGAGCTTCAGTTTCATTATCTGGCCTTCCAGGGAACAGTCAGGGTTGATTTCTTTTAGGATTGACTGATTTGATCTTCTTGCAGTCCAAGGGACTCTCAAGAGTCTCCTCCAGCACCATAGTTCAAAAGAATCTATTCTTCAGCACTCGGCCTTAATGCAGCTAAGTGTAACTTAATTTTTTCCCCACAGAGTAGTTAGGACCAACACATGCCCCAACAGCTCTCTTCACCTCCAAGAGACAAGCTGTGAGCCACATTCCAGTTGGCCTGAGTTCACTCTGACCTCACTCACTGGAGACAGATTCAGATGGGTAGCCGTGTTGGTCTGAAGCAGCAGAACAAAGCTTGAGTCCAGTAGCACCTTTAAGACCAACAAAGTTTTATT